ATTAAAGCAACACCGAAACAACAAACAAAATGACGAAAGTGAAGTCCAATAGTGACTCTGACTAAACAGGAACAAAAACCCACAACCCCAAGGTGAAAACACACAGTATAAATATGGCTCCCAATCAGAGATAACGAGCCGACAGCTGACACTCGTTACCTCCGATTGGGAGTCATCGACCAAACATAGAAAACGACAACCTAGACACCCAACATAGAACAAAACCACATAGACTGCACACACCCTGGCTCAACATAATGAGTCCCAGAACCAGGGTGTGACACTGACATTTGACAACTCGATCCTTCAGCTCCCTCCACAGATTTTCTATGGGATTAAGGTCTGGAGACTGGCTAGGCCACTCCAGGATCTTAATGTGCTTCTTCTTGAGCCACTCCTTTGTTGCCTTGGCCGTGTGTTTTGGGTCATTGTCATGCTGGAATACCCATCCACGACCCATTTTCAATGCCCTGGCTGAGGGAAGGAGGTTCTCACCCAAGATTTGACGGTACATGGCGCCGTCCATCGTCCCTTTGATGCGGTGAAGTTGTCCTGTCCCCTTAGCAGAAAAACACCCCCAAAGCATAATGTTTCCACCTCCATGTTTGACGGTGGGGATGGTGTTCTTGGGGTCATAGGCAGCATTCCTCCTCCTCCAAACACGACGAGTTGAGTTGATGCCAAAGAGCTCGATTTTGGTCTCATCTGACCACAACACTTTCACCCAGTTCTCCTCTGAATCATTCAGATGTTCATTGGCAAACTTCAGACAGCCCTGTATATGTGCTTTCTTGAGCAGGGGGACCTTGCGGGCGCTGCAGGATTTCAGTCCTTCACAGCGTAGTGTATTACCAATTGTTTTCTTGGTGACTATGGTCCCAGCTGCCTTGAGATCATTGACAAGATCCTCCCGTGTAGTTCTGGGCTGATTCCTCACCGTTCTCATGATCATTGCAACTCCACGAGGAGAGATCTTAAATGGAGCCCCAGGCCAAGGGAGATTGACAGTTATTTTGTGTTTCTTCCATTTGCAAATAATCGCACCAACTGTTGTCACCTTCTCACCAAGCTGCTTGGCGATGGTCTTGTAGCCCATTCCAGCCTTGTGTAGGTCTACAATCTTGTCCCTGACATCCTTGGAGAGCTCTTTGGTCTTGGCCATGGTGGAGAGTTTGGAATCTGATTGATTGCTTCTGTGGACAGGTGTCTTTTATACAGGTAACAAGCTGAGATTAGGAGCACTCCCTTTAAGAGTGTGCTCCTAATCGCAGCTCGTTACCTGTATAAAATACACCTGGGAGCCAATTTATATTATTTATGACATGCGTTTTTCTGGATTTTTTTGTTGTTATTCTGTCTCTCACTGTTCAAATAAACCTACCATTAAAATTATAGACTGATCATTTCTTTGTCAGTAGGGGATCAAATACTTTTTTACCTCACTGTACATTATTGTACAGTGAGGTTTTGTCCAAAATATTATCGTTTTTGTCCAAAATATTGAGTCATTGAAATCTAAAACAACATTGGAGGCGGCTTATTGTAGAGAAATGAACATTAAATTCTCTGGCAACAGCTCTGGTGGACATTATTGCAGTCAGCATGCCAATTGCACACTCCCTCAAAACTTGAGGTATCTGTGGCATTGTGTTGTGTGACAAAACTGCACATTTTAGAGTGGCTTTTTATTGTCCCCAGCACAAGGTGCACCTGTGTAATGATCATGCTTTTTAATCAGCTTCTTGAAATGCCACACCTGTCAGATGGATGGATTATATTGGCAAAGAAGAAATGCTCACTAACAGGGATGTAACAAAATGTGTGCACAAAATTTGAAAGAAATCAGCTTTTTGTCCGTATCTAAAATTTCTGGGATCTTTTAATTCAGCTCATGAAACATGGGACCAACACTTTACACGTTGCGTTCATATTTTTGTTCAGTGTACAAATGTTTTACTGGGCCCACACAAAATTGAATTCTAATGGTGCAGCCCTCTTATTGGTCAACAAAAGAAGGACTGGCTCTTGTTGTCAAATTGACTGGGGCTGTTGTTGAATCTTTTGTTGACCAATAAGAGGGCTGCACCATTAGAATGCAATTTTGTGTGGTCCCAATAAAACATTTGGTGGAAAAAATATTGTGAAACACTATCATTCCACTATTACTGTTGTAGATACAGTATATTAAGGACATTTTCTGAAATTACAATACAAAAATATTACATATATCTCTATTAAAAGGGATATTTTTGCGAGATTACATATTTAGATATTTGTTTCTTTACCTTGAAAGCAGTTTATGGACAAGGAGTCCACACTTTGGTTTTGTTAAACTAGCCACTGCCAACAAATGTAATTTCTAGGTACTATCCCTTCTCTTAATGCATTTCTATTTTAATATTTTACTTCTGTTTATTTTAGTAAATACTTTCTTAACACTTATTTTTCTTAAAACTGCATTGTTGGTTAAGGGCTTGTAAGTAAGCATTTCACTGTTGTATTCGGCGCATGTGACAAATACAATTTGATTTGATTTGATTTCCCACACTGTACTTCGGATTGTCTTTTACGATTATTACATGTCACACTGTGCGATGTGACCAAATTAAAACCTTGATATCAACCTGGCCAGATTGTAGATTTGCTTCAGTTCTGTCGTCACATTCTGCGATTGGCTTGCGAGGCTACGTCAACAGGGCGTGTCAAGCGTTGCATCAAAAGAACAACAACAAGCTTTTGCTGTGATGTTGGCGGTGTTTTGTCTCGAGAAACCCAAGAAAAAGAGAAGAAGAAATGGTATGGACCATTCGTGGCTGGGAACGAGAGCAGTATTGGTGCGCAAGCATGGCGTCATTGGCCGTGTTCCTATTGGTCAGTCACCGGGATCGTCTCGTAACACCAGCCAAACTACACGATGAAGGCAAAAAAAATCTGACACTACCAGGACTGTGTCGGAGCCTACGACCGCATGTAGCGGTACTTAATTGGCAGACCCAGTCACACTGAACGAGCCATGACGTCCAACAATCATTTACGACCTAAGAATTTGCCCACGACGTGGACATTTCGTCTGGGACGGCAAAATCGTGGCATAAGACGGCTAAAATAATACAGTCGGTGCGGGCTTTAGGTATACTTTATCAGACAGGGCTCCAAGCCTCCAGGGATACTACAACAATGTTAAGAGTATTGACATAAAGACTGGTAATAATAATGCCTATCATGACAGTTCATCTTACATAACATTGGACACAACTCGGTTTAGAGTGCAGTAGAAGTGCTCTCTTCCCATACTTTCTTTCACAGCAACTATAAAACAGCATGATTTTACCTCTATTTTTCAAACATTCACACAGTACATTCAACATATTGCACAGCTGGATTCTTACCCTTTATGTTGACTGGTGTTGATGATCACAAGTTTACTGGAGAACGGAGACCAAGTAGAGACTTTCGGACAAGGTGGATGATTGTATAATATAAGGCAGTTTATTCAGAGGTAAAGATATCTGTAAATAACGTGCACGGACCCGTTCGTCAATCTCGTAGGGAGATATCTGAGAGCGCGAGAGCCCCTAAACATTGTGTGCTGACATTTTATACAATAAAATAAAGTAGGTTGATTCTAGTAGTTCTGATCTTCTGATTGGTCCTGATGAGTTGGTCGAGGTCACCTCCAGGCTAGTGTCACTGTTGCATTGGCTCTGAGTCGGGTTCTCTGTCTTCAGATGTTCAGCCTAAGAGAAGGGGGTTTTTGTGTGTGTGTGTGCTTAACAATGATGATGTGTGTGTGTGTGTGTGTGTGTGTGTGTGTGTGTATATGTGTGTGTGTGTGGGGGTGTGTGTGTATGTCCTCAGAGCAAGAAGTCGTGAGTTTGGGAGAACTGAGAGACCTATGGCGTGGGTGTTGTCCATAGCCACCTGCTGATAAGGCCGACAAGATAGAAGTCTTTGTGCATTGTATTAAATCCAAAGGCCCAACACAAGATGGGTTATGCACAAGACTTTAGTCAGACCAAGCTATAACATTATATATTTACTACGACACTGGTATGGCAGCATTCCAGATACGGACACACAAAAACTGCTTAAATGTGTTTATTTGAATATGTCTGAAGTTATGGTAGTTATTCCAAATGTCTCAGTGTTTTCTAACTGCAGTTTGTTGACATTGATACGCAAATATCACAATAAATAAACTGTCCAATGAGAGTCAATGCCATGCTCTGTACACACCAGAGACACTCTCTACAGTACAAAGAAGACACTGATGTCAGTCACATTTCCAAAGGATGTCATACACCTTTGAGTCATAAGGCTCATACTCAAAGGCACTAATATGAAGACTTTCAGCACCCCCTATGAGATAACTAGTACTTTCAGACAGCTTGTGTTCCTCTTAGTCTGACTGTAGAATGGAACATTGTTTGTGACAATAGAAACTTTGAAAAAAAAAAAAAAAAAGTTTGTTGGTGGTGTCATTGAGTTTGGACATTTTGAGTTAATGTGCACTATAGGTGCATTCTGCACATATAAAGGCAACAGTTCAATCTCCAGTGGCTCATTGTTACAGTACAAGATCATTTGCCTAGTGTAGTCAACTTCTCCATCTTGAAAAAGTGTCCATTCCCAGTTGTGAGGACGTCTCATCTTAAAGCCACTCTTACCTTTGATATGAAAGATATCTTTAGTTAGTTGCTTAGAGTTCACCAGGTTAGTTCTCTCAGTAACGAGCATTATTGTGCTTTGGAGAGTCCCGGGATCCATGCTAAAATTGTCTGTAACAATTATCTTGAACCCTCTGTCATAGGTTATACCAAATGTTGTTATAAGCAACAGCTGTTAAAAGCCATACAAACAGCTGACATCAGCTGTATGATATTTGACCACGTCAAGCTGCCATGACACAAGCAATAAGCTAGTGGGGGCTGGGCACAACGTCATGCTTACAACTGCATTACAGACGGTTCAAACAAAGCCTACTCCTAAGAAAAGTGACTTCATGGAAACTTCAGGTACTCCGGCGTGGAGTAGTTGAACAGCAGGAAGTCCATGCGGTACAGGTTGTACAGCTTCTTTTGGTAGAAGGGGCTGATGTTGTGGAAGAACTGGGCGGCCATGTCTCCCGTAGTCCTGGTGTTCTTGGCTGAGGTGGGGAAGGTCACCTGGCCCTTCACCCCGGCCAGCTGCAGCACGTAGCGGGAGTCCTGCTCCAGCGTCTCGTACTTGCCCACCACATCGTAGTGGATGAGGCAGGGGTGGCAGAGTGAGTGCACCCGCTCCCAGTGCTCGTTGAAGGGCTCCTCACGCTGCGTGGCCGGGTCCACCAGGTAGTACACAAATTCCTCGAAGGAGACGTCATCGCCCCGCTCCAGCGCCTTGGCCTGCGGATCAGGCCGGTGCCGGCGGATGATCTTGGTGCCGTAGCGCTTGTGGAAGGCCGTGTTGTAGCTGCGTGTGAACTTGTTGCGGTAGGCCGAGACGAGCCGCTCAAAGGGCTCGCGCACAAACACAAACTTCAGGTAGGAGCGCAGCCGCTGGTTGATCTGGGAGGTGGAGTACTCAGAGAGGGTGCGTAGGTTGCCCGGCACGTGGGCCTCGTTGGCGGGAATGTCGAGGGGGTCGCGGTGGGGGCCAGCGGCGCCTGTCAGGACCATGAGGACTCGCTTCCAGTTGGTGCAGGCCACCTTGGGCACGTAGCAGTAGAGCAGGCCATGCTGGTCATCCACAATGACGTGCTTGAGGTCCTCAGGGATGAGCACGCGGCGCTTGAGCGTGTACGAGTGGCAGGCATCTTCCAGCAGCTCCCGCCGACCCTGGTGGGTCACCTGCACTGCCGACTGCTCCAGCTACAGGAGAAGACAGGAGAGGATTCAGTGAGTATTCCAGACAGTGACATAAAAAAACAGCTTGAATTTGTCTGAAGTTATGGTAGATATCTTGTGTCGTTTAATCATTGTTTGTTTCCTTGAGGTGAGTAGAAAGTGAGATAGCAAGTGGTTATGGCTGGGGGATACACTTTTTATCCATGTTACTGAACACATTGGCATATTTCAACATGTAACACATGAACAAGTTTCAACACTCATCAGATTGCAGAATGAGAGACAAGAAACTGGCTCCAAAACAACCTCTAGCCCAAACACACTTCAAGTACATCCAAAATAATTGGATAGGTACAAGCAATGTTGTTGTAGCGCCACCTTGCCCATATCTTGATTAATCCAAAAAAGTATTATAACACCCTTGCCTTTCTCAAACTAACAATTTGCACTTGTATTTTCTTAGTAGCACTGGCTTGGCAGATAGTTTATTGAGGAGAAATGTACTTACTACATGTGGTTGTCTCACCTACATATCTTAAGATGAATGCACTAACTGTAAGTCACTCTGGATAAGAGCGTATGCTAAATGACTCAAATGTAAAATGTAAAAATGAAGGGGAAAGGGGATACCTAGTCAGTTGCACAACTGAATGCATTCAACTGAAATGTGTATTCTGCATTTAACCCAACCCCTCTGAATCAGAGAGGCTAGATGGATGGATTTTTTTTACATATTGCTTATACCCATCAAATCCTTTCAGATATACACAAGTGCCTTGTAGGGGCTAGGGGTTGTTTCTGTATGGGGCCTTTTTCAACCCGAATATGAGAAAAAAAAACACCCTTTCAAAAGTAATGCTTGGACCTCCTCAGTCTATTGACATTAGGAAGTTACTTGCATGGGCAGAAACGCTCCTCGCATTCCAACGTCACTTCATATAATTCATTCTACACCTTGTCCTTGCCCCCACAGAAAATTCATTCTGAAAAGGAGTTAGCTACGTGCTTATGTAATAGTATAAATGTCTGGGAGATTAACCATAATGAGCATAATCTGTCCAAGAATGGAGTTAATCTCCAGAAAATTGAGAGTATGTGGAGAGGTAGAAAATAAGATGAAAATGTGTGCATTAGGGAATCTGGAACCGAGACAAGAGTATGTTCGTGCTGAATGACTCTAAATTACAGCTTCTCTAAATTATCTTATTGTTCGTTAAATATGAGAGTTGATAGTTGAGTTTTAATGACCCATTTCTCTCCCACGTACACACACACTGTAGCTGGATGTCATAATCATATTTAAACCTCTCCCATCAACACACCACCAATACCAACACTACAGGTCAACCAGTTCAACTTGGCTTCCTTCCTGTATAAAACCTGTATTTACTCCTTCCATTTACTCAGCCAAATGCAGAGGCTCTCAGTTTGCCTCGGTGTCTGGTGGCATGTGTGGTCCTCTGAGCTGGTTTGAGAAGACACTGTTTACACTGGAAGATCAAGGACACACTCAAGCAGGCCACACCGATGCCAACTCTTAGCCTTCACTCATTGTGTAGCTGGGAAGTTATATCTTTCTATCAAACACAATTTTGTCAAGCAGAAGTTATCAAGTAAAACTATTTCTTTATCTTTGTCATCAGTGAGACACCAGGTAAGTAATTGCTTATCAATGTCATTCATTATCAATGACAGTGTAAAGACTATCTTATATGATAATCTTGAGTTTAATTTGTGGTGTAATACGTATTTTTATGGTACATACTCTTACCCTGTCGGCTATGATTGACCTCAAGTAGATTCAATGGCTTCCTCGTAAACCTAACACGCAAACCACACCGGCCACGTTGCGTGTGCGAGCATTGCAAAATACATTTACACATACATGTATATATTATTCAATAATTTCACCCACACTGCTCACGCACGTGAAGAAGCGTCTGCATAGCCAAGCGCTAAAATACAACTTGGTTCTATTTGACACACATGACGCGCTACAAGTCCCGCCTCTCCCATCTTCTCATTGATTTTCAGGAGCATAGATATATTACTAAAAATTCAGAGAGCCTCATTTTGTGGTCCTTTGAATTTAACATTTTAATTGCCATTTTCAAAGTCATTTTCCTAAATAAGTCTATTTAACACACTGTCATTGTTAGAATTTCGATATCACAAACAGAGTTTGTGTTATAAGCAGTTTTAGGAGGACATGTAATTTCCCCCCCACCCTGCCCTTCCTTCACCAGTTGGCTGCCATCTGACAATGGTCCATCGAAACTACACCTAAACTATATCAAAACAAATTTCAAATCTGGGCTTATAATAATAGATTAAGCCTAAATACAAGATTCAATCGATAATAGTCTGATGGGCGACAATATTATCAATTGCCTTGTGAATGAAGAGACTGCAGTGCAGCGTTGGTAATTGACAAAGAAGGGAACAGAGTTTACCAAAAAGCAACTTTTTCAAATAATCTTTCATGCAGGTAAGACATATTGATTTCATAAGCTAGAGGAAAGAGCAGGTTCTAAGGTTTCTAAAACACATACATTTGCCAAACAACTTAAAAATTAGGGCATGGGCTCTATTTCAAAATATCACTTTTTTGTAGAATAATACAGCCGCTATTCCATGCGTTCTACATGTGAGCACTTGCGGCAGCATAGCCATAGGGTACTAAACACAGACTAGTAACATAATACAACTTTAAATATGATATTCTGTTCTTTTGAATGACAATCTTTTTTTTAAAAAAAATTCTAAATACCTGCGTTAACGAAATAATTATGCATTTCTTTGTGATGGTGTATACTTGAATTGTGGTGTTATGTCATTTTTCATTTTTACATGTAGCCTACAGTAACATAAACTAATTAAAATAATAAAATGTTCGTATTCTAATGGTAGGCCTCCCTAAAACCTTAATAAACACAACCAAATTATAATTTTTTGCAATAGCATATATAAAATGTATTTATTAGACTGTTAGAATGCATTGTCTAAGAACGGGATTGCTAAATGCTCAGTTTTTCTAGTGTTAACCCTTGGCCTACCGCGGAAATCTAATTAACATAATAATTACATCTAATTAACGCCCACAAGCCTCACAAGAGTTGTCTGAAGGTCCCAGTAACAGTTTAAAAAACGAATGGAAGTATATATGGAGATAGGCTAGTGTCTAAAATAAGGGGATAAATACATGTAAAAAAATATATAAAACAATAGTTTCCTGCTCTTTCTTATATCTCTCAGATGTAGGACAAACACTTCAGAACAAACTTCCTTTAGATTTTGGGGGGGACTATCTGTTGTTCCATGTAGTGAATCTGTTATTCAATGCATTTCTATTGGCTAATAGCAGTAAAGCCAAATTCAATCCAATATTTGGGCTTAGACAGGGCTTAGGCTGGGCTTACACTCTAGAGGGTTTTAATAGTTGGAGTAGAGAAACATATGATTGTGTATGACTTCGGGTTAAAAAAAGCATGGGTAAAATAAAAACCCAATATTCATCTCCCAGGACAAATAAGTTAGCAATAGCAAGCTAGATAAATGTCCATGAATGTTTCATGTGTGTTTGACATGACCCCAAATTAATATAGTTGGTTCACAGTTGGTTTAGATATTTTAACCTGCGCGTCATGATCGCGTCTGGTATGGATGGACAAAATGCATGTGATGACGCATGCGGACGTACGTGCATGGCCAGTGTATTCAGCATATAAGGGTAACTTAAGCATGCAAAGGCAACCTCCATGCAACCTTTGCTTAAGTTAAACTTCCTGTATAAAGTCATTACACCCTTTAGTGTTCCAAAAGTGTTAGACAAATCAGAATAAAATGTGTTCAAATCTTCTGCAAGTTTTGCTTGCTGCCTCCCTAAATTCAAAAACGTTTCCTCAGAGTATAGCAAGAGCACAGAGTTCAATCTCCTCCCTGCGTAGAGATTACGTTAATTTATTTTCACGAGTAAAGTACGTTGTCTACTAGCTCTGTGTCCTGCGCCTGACTCCGTCCTACCGCTACACACTGACGCCTGACAGAATCACGCACCTCAAATGGAGTCAGCAGGTACATTTTTCCTTCAGGATCAGTGGAGGAACGCGTCCAGCAGCAAGCGACCATGATACAGACTCTCGGCACAGCCATGGATCGTGTGTTGAACACTATGGAGCGATGGGAGAGAGGGGGTTTTCCTACACCTACACTGCAACCCACACCGCTGTCCACCCCTTCGTCACCTGGGTCCAGTGGGATTCGGCTCTCGCTCCCGAGGGCATATGATGGTACAGCTGCCGGGTGCCAGGGGTTTCTGCTCCAGGTAGATCTCTACCTGGCGACCATCCACCCGGCTCCCTCGGGATACGAGAGCGTGTCCACCCTCATCTCCTGTCTGTCGGGGAGAGCGCTCGAGTGGGCCAACGCCGAGTGGGGAGGAATAGACGCGGCGTCTGTGCGCTATGAAGATTTCACCCGCCGCTTCTGGGCGGTATTTGATCATCCACCGGAGGGGAGAGCGGCGGGGGAACGTCTGTTCCACCTCAGACAGGGGAAGAGGAGCGCTCAGGTCTTCGCACTGGACTTCAGGACCCTGGCAGCCAGCGCGGGATGGAATGAGAGGGCCCTGATTGACCACTACCGATGCAGCCTACGGGAGGACGTTCGTCAGGAGCTGGCCTGCAGGGACACCACCCTTAACCTGGCCCAGCTGGTGGATTTATTGATACGGCTGGATAACCTGTTGGCCACACGTGGACGTCCGGATCGGGGTCTGTCCATTCCATCCCCCAGCACCTCCGACCCTACACCGATGGAGCTCGGAGGTGCTGCTCTAAGGGAGACCGGAAGGGGGGCCGTTTCCTGCACCAACTGTGGCCGCAGAGGACACACTGCTGGTCGGTGCTGGGGAGGTTCCTCAGGGAGTCGAGGCAGCAGGCAGAGCACTGGTGGACCATCCCAGGTGAGTAGGCACCCGACTCATCCAGAGCTCCCTGTTGCGCACATGTGTATTGACATAACATTTCCTGAGTTTTCCCCGCATTCCCAGCATAAGGCGCACGTAGATTCAGGCGCAGCTGGGAACTTTATTGATCGTATATTTGCCCGTAGAGTAGGGATTCCTATTGTTCCTGTTGATGTGCCCTTTCCTGTACATGCCTTAGATAGTCGCCCTTTAGGGTCAGGCCTGATTAGGGAGGTCACAGCTCCACTTTGGATGAAAACGCAGGAGGGTCATGAGGAGAGAATTAGTCTCTTTCTGATCGATTCTCCTGCGTTTCCAGTGGTGTTGGGGCTTCCCTGGTTAACCTCTCATGACCCCACTATTTCATGGCAACAGAGGGCTCTCAAGGGATGGTCAAGTCAGTGCTCGGGGAGGTGTGTAGGTGTTTCCATAGGTGCAACTACGGTGGAAAGTCCGAACCAGGTCTCCACTATGCACATTCCCCCCGAATATGCTGATTTGGCTCTCATCTTCTGTAAAAAAGAAGGTGACTCAATTACCACCCCATCGACAGGGGGATTGTGCGATAAGGTAGGCGCTGCACTTCCCCGGAGTCACGTGTATCCTCTGTCACAGGAGGAGACGGCGGCTATGGAAACATATGTCTCCGAATCTCTGGGACAGGGATACATTCGGCCGTCCACTTCACCTGCCTCCTCAAGTTTATTTTTTGTGAAGAAGGATGGAGGTTTACGCCCGTGCATTGACTACCACAGTCTCAATCAGATCACTGTTAAGTACAGTTATCCACTACCTCTCATTGCTAGTGTGACGGAGTCATTGCACGGGGCGCGCTTCTTCACCAAATTGGATCTCAGGAGCGCGAACAACCTGGTGCGTACCCGGGAGGGGGATGAGTGGAAGGCGGCATTTAGTACCACCTCTGGGCACTATGAGTACCTCGTCATGCCGTACGGGTTGATGAATGCTCCCTCAGTCTTCCAATCCTTTGTCGATGAGATTTTCAGGGACCTGCACGGACAGGGTGTAGTGGTGTATATAGATGACATTCTCATATACTCCGCTACACGAGCCGAGCATGTGTCCCTGGTGCGCAAGGTGCTTGGTCGACTGTTGGAACATGACCTGTACGTCAAGGCGGAGAAATGTCTGTTCTTTCAACAGTCCGTCTCCTTCCTAGGGTACTGCCTGTACGCGTCAGGGGTGGAGATGGAGAATGACCACATTTCGGCCGTGCGTAATTGGCCGACTCCAAGCACGGTTAAGGAGGTGCAGCGATTCTTAGGGTTTGCCCACTACTACCGGAGGTTTATCCGGGGCTTTGGTCAGGTAGCGGCTCCCATTACCTCCTTGCTGAAGGGGGGACCGGTGCGACTGCGGTGGTCAGCTGAGGCGGACAGGGCTGTTGGTCACCTGAAGGCCCTGTTTACCTCGGCTCCTGTGCTGGCTCATCCAGATCCCTCCTTGGCATTCACAGTAGAGGTGGACGCGTCTGAGGCTGGGATAGGAGCTGTACTGTCTCAGCGCTCAGGTACGCCACCAAAGCTCCGCCCCTGTGCTTTCTTTTCGAAGAAGTTCAGCCCGGCGGAGTGCAACTATGAGGTGGGGGACCGGGAGCTGTTAGCTGTTGTCCAGGCTCTGAAAGCGTGGCGGCATTGGCTTGAGGGGGCTAAACACCCTTTCCTCATTTTGACTGACCACCGCAATCTGGAGTACATCCGGGCGGCGAGGAGACTGAACACTCGCCAGGCAAGGTGGGCCATGTTTTTCACCCGTTTTGTGTTCACCCTTTCTTACAGACCAGGTTCCCAGAACGTTAAGGCAGACGCTCTGTCCCGGCTGTATGACACAGAGGAGAGGTCCATGGAGCCCAACTCCCATACTTACGTCTTCTTGTTTGGTGGCACCGGTGGTATGGGAGGTTGACGCGGACATCGAGCGGGCGTTACGTACGGAGCCCAGTCCCCCCCAGTGTCCAGAGGGTTGTATGTACGTTCCGTTAGATGTCTGCGATCGATTGATCTATTGGGCTCACATGTCACCCTCCTCTGGTCATCCTGGCATCGGTCGGACAGTGCACTGTCTTAGTGGGAAGTACTGGTGGCCCACTTTAGCTAAGGACGTGAGGGTTTATGTTTCCTCCTGCTCGGTGTGCGCCCAGTGCAAGGCACCTAGACACCTGCCAGAGGGAAATTACAACCCCTACCCGTACCACAACGGCCGTGGTCACACCTATCGGTGGATTTCGTTACGGACCTTCCCCCGTCACAAGGGAACACCACGATCCTGGTCGTTGTGGATCGGTTTTCTAAGTCCTGCCGTCTCATTCCTTTGCCCGGTCTCCCTACAGCCCTACAGACTGCGGAGGCCCTGTTTACACACGTCTTCTGGCACTACGGGGTACCTGAGGATATAGTGTCTGATCGAGGTTCCCAGTTCACCTCAAGGGTCTGGAGGGCGTTCATGGAATGTCTGGGGGTCTCGGTCAGCCTGACCTCAGGGTTTCACCCCGAGAGTAATGGGCAGGTGGAAAGAGTAAACCAGGATGTGGGAAGGTACTGTCACGAATTCAGGCGAGGCTGCCCCTCATCCTTGCACGGGCAGGATTCGGCGTTCGTCGTCACCGGAGTACTAGCTGCCACCGATCTATGTTTCTGTGTTCTACTTGTTTTGTCTTTATTGTACACACCTGGTTCCCATTATGTTCTGATTTGTTCCCTATTTAACCCTCTGGCTCCCACTGTGTTGTGTGCGTGTTTGTTCTATGTTTGGTGTCATAGACTGGTGAGCGGGATTTGTCCTCCCTGCGTGCAGATTATGTTAATTTAATTTCACGAGTAAAGTACGTTGTCTACTAGCTCTGTGTCCTGCGCCTGACTCCGTCCTACCGCTACACACTGATGCCTGACAGGGTTTCAGTGGCATTGGGACCTGGACTGGATAGGAAAATAGCCTAGGCTGCAGGACAAGAGAAGTTAGAATTTTCCCTCATGCCTCTGAATTGTTAACAGACAGAGATGCCTATGTAGTGAATTGTGCATATCAGAATTGTGACTGTCTGAAGAGTCACAATGACAGCTCAAAGAGGCACACGTTATTTAATAGTCTATACTGAAGGGGTTTCCTGTAGGGTTTATCAACTGCATTCAGGTCGCGTGTGCAGTCCGGCAGTATCAATTATGCGTGTGCTTTCAATTTATGGTGAATTTGTGTGAAGTAGATACACTAGGCTTAAGGCTTCCATGCGGCAACCTGTTTGGATAATGTGCCATTTTATTTTTGCTAAACTGCTGTTGCGCATGTTGTGTATATTGTGGAATTGCATTAGTGCAACATTGGGGACATTTTTTGTAATTTCTCGGGTCTTCCCATTAAATTTTTTCAGGAAATGTGAAGATTGTTCCTGGGACAGTCCCGGGATGCCAGTTACCCATGTTAATCCCTAACTACTTATACTGCAACTTTATACTGCACTCTATCACTGTCTGGACTTTTTTTCAACAGTGGTATGACAAGCCAAAAGAGGGAGGGAGAGCAAGAGGGGGGAGATAGAGACAGATGCTAGCAAAGTTACAATGTCAGTTATTTTCTTTTTAACAAGACGGTTTTATGCCCACCAACACCCGAGTAGGCAGGCAAAAATAAATGAGCGAATGCCCTTTGCATTATAACTAATCTTTTTCCATCCTAAGCGTCCGTCCAAAATCATTTTATTTTGCTAACCAACGTCTGACTGCAGTCTGGAAGCGCCAAGTCAGGGCTGGGAATGAATCATCTTCAAAAAACTTAAGTCTGCTGCGAAATTAAACGCAGACGTTTCAACTTTTGTCTGATGACTAACTTCAAAAGAGCTGTACTAGACAGTAAACAAACAAAAAATGGTCAAGGGTCGCACCTGTGTCAATCACTGACTGTCACCGGTAACTACAGCAGACAGTTTCAAAGGCTTGAGATGTACAGATTGCAAGACACCCGACCCTTGGAGCTTAAGGTACATCTGTAGTGCAATGTGGGCTTAATAATTATGATTTCATCTAAATCTGATTTTACAGACAAACCGCTCACATCAGAGACGGAATGAAACATGGAACAGTTCACGCATATATTAATGCAAAATGTCATCTGTCCGCGCACAACCATTTATCATGAGGTAAGTCGAAGTTCGGTAGCCGAAGTCTACAACCCTTCACAGTGACACAGTAGGTCAATGGTAGGGGTGGGAAATATGGCGGGATTGTAGACTTGACCAAAACAAGTTCAGTGGTCATCAACATTCATGTAGCTATATATTCATCAGCCAATGATGTGAACGCTACCTGATGGTGGGCGGGACTTACCTGGTCACTGTCATAGAGCATCTGGAGTGGACTTCTCCCTGACTTTCCCTGGCCGCTGCTCCTCCTACTGCCCTGCGCTGAGGCTGAGAAAACACACACAGGTATACACATCAAGGTCAGCACAGGCAGATTACCTATAGTACACACTCAAGACCATCAGTGGCCACTAGCCATCTCTGCTGCATTCTGAATTGGTATCCACACACTCCATGTTATGCCAGTGTGGCAAATTATCAGGTATGGCAAGTTATTACTGAACATTCAATCTAAACACAAACGTCATGTTCGTTTAATGTTGAGTCCAATACTTGATAAGCGACCACTCTGACCCAGCTTAGTTGAAACTCGGGCAAAATGTTCTTTACATCCGTGCCATAGTTTAGTTAGTGTGTTAGTGAAAATGTGCAACTTCCTAAAAAAGGGCAAGAGAGATAATCATGAACCATGTTAAATGTAAAGGTATGAATGCAACCACAACCAGAGACTTTTATATAGCCTAATAGAAAGAAGTCACAAGACAAGTCCAATTGAGTCACAGGGAGACCAGAAAGAGAAACTCACCCATGTGTAATTTATTACATATTGTACACACTACTACACACCTGAGGGTCGTTAAACACTAACACACTAGTTCACACCCAAACGACATTCCATACAACACTTACCTAGAGGTTGTCATAGAAGCACACAGAGAAGAGAGAGAGTCCTTTTATGTAAAACCAGGCCTCAAAAAGGACTGTGCATCCATTCAGACTACTACTGTACCTTTTACTGTAGCTCTCTCCTAAACATACAACGCAGCAACACTACTGAAAACAGCACTCCTTTATGGGAGCGGAGGAGGGGGAAGGAAGTACGAGGGGAAAAAGTTGCATAGCAATCAGAGAAAACCAAGAGGGCTGATGGAGGATAAACAGAGGTAGGAAGCCTCTGGGACTACTTTAGAGTTCCTTTAAGAAACATGACTGGCATTTAGATTGTTGTTGTCTAGACTGTTGTTGTTGTAGCCACTGTTTCTTATGCTGTTGCTCATGTGATGTTCTATAAAAAAAATGGGTTGGCAGTGCAAACATGCAATTGACTGTGTTTGAGTTAGATGGTAAAACAATGTCACATTTGTCAGACAGTGTGGGTTGACAAGAAACCTTCGCATCGGACATTGCAAACAGCTGAAGCACATACTGTAACCGGGCCATAACATTTTCAGGAAACACTTCTCTTCTAGCAGTATAAAGGCCATTTGGTGTGTTCTAAATCCTTGCATCAAGACAATGAAAAAGGTATAGGGCTACATATACACAGATTACATTTTACACAATCATTCCCAGCTCGTTAGACCAGTACACCTGCTTTCAGTACACCTGATTTTAATATCTTATCCCCTGCTTTAATGACCACCACTGTTCAAGTCAATATGAATGGTACTAACTCAGCCCTGTTAAGACTGTAAAAGCAGTCAGTCTCTGTCAAGTTCAAAGGCAAAGAGAGGGCCTCTTCTGACAGTGATCTGCCATGTTTCAACTCTAGAGTAAAGCTAGAGGCACTTTTCAAACCTGTCAAAAGGAATAGAGGAGACTTTGACTTTTACCTGCGAAGTTACGACTGTCTTACATTTGTATTGCCTGAATTTTCTTAGTCCACTTTACGCTGACTGCAAAACTTGATGTGATTTTATGTCATACTCTTTTAAAGGCGCTGACACATGCAGTGTTTGACGCTTGGGAAACCAGTATTTTCTATATTTGGTCAGTTTTTCTTTACTGAGAGAATTTACAATTTGTATTCTTTAATAGAAAAGAACTGGTTTAAGACCTGGCATCACAATTTTAAGTGGCATCTATATGTTGACCCAACGCTAGCCTCGATTCCAGGCTTGGGAGTATGGTAACGTGAGACTAACCCGATGCGAATGACTATGCATTTCACCCGTTTTAAGAGGTAACTTTAAAAGCTTTGCTTTAACTTTCACATACAAGTTATTGAAAGGCAGTTATTGCATGAGCCACTTCTGCCTTGACTGGGATGTAATAGCTACTGTGAAAGACGATGAAGAGGTTGTAGTTCATTACAGAGGAGCAATGACAACAGGGCAAGATAGAAATTGGCCTATAACAGTTAGGATCTCCCCCTTTAAATAAAGGACGCAACATGGCTGCCTTCCAAGCACTGGGAACCTCCCCAGAGATGAGAGACAGGTTAAAAAGGTGAGAGATTGGCTCTGCGATGATAGGGGCTACAACCTTAAAGAAGAAAGCTGCTTATCTACTGTACATACTGTATCAGCAACGGTTAAAACCATATGTATTATCAATGTTGATGGAGTAGCTGAGACATGGTCATCACACTCAAATAAAGTTAAACAGAAAACTCAGATTATGGTAGGGGCTTGAGCAGAAACAATTCCAAGAGCAATAATGTCCAAAATGATGAAGCGATGAGAGACAACAACAACAACAAAAACAAGTCCCTCATTCAGGAAATCGCCCTTCTCCTGTAGCCATGCACTGCGGAGAAACCCGAGGAGAGGGCCTCAGTTTTATCTCTCCTACTTTACGGATCTAATTAAATAGGACGCGCATTCCTAAAATGCCAACCTCGCTTTGTCCACTTCTGCGAGTGTTACACACATGTGGAGTTTCACCTATGCTATCCTCAGCTTTCTCCCCAAGGGACAATGTTACGGAGGGCATTCCCACTTACCAAACAGTTAGGTTCAGAGTTCAGGTAAACCTTTAGCTCATGCCAGACATAGTGTTATTGTAACTGGATGTTCTGTCAATAGGCAATTTGTGGCCTCATGCATGGTCCCCTGAGTGTAAGTTGGGGAAAAAGAGAGAGGGTCGGGGTGCAATATATTGATTCGAAAGAATATGCTGTCTGTCCTTAGATGCTTATAGAACACAACCTGTCCTCTACAAGTCTACATATCATGAAATTTGCTTTGGCCCTAACCAACATCACACAGAGAAAATGTAAACATTATTTATTTTTGATTTGTATTTAACTAGGCAAGTCAATTAAGATAACATTCTTATTTACAATGATGGCCTACCAAGAGGCAAAAGGCCTCCTGTGGGGACGAGGGAGAAAGAAAAAGACAAGTAGGACAAAACACACATCACGACAAAAGAGAGACCAAAGACAACACAACATGGCAGCAACCCAACAACCCAACAATGGTAGCAACACAACATGGCAGCAACCCAACATGGCAGCAACACAACATGGCAGCAGCACAAACATGGTACAAATATTGTTAGGCACAGACAACAGCATGAAGGGCAAAAAGGTTGAGACATTCTTCTTACCGAACCCCATGACCTTTGTTTTGGAGGTGTTCAGAGCAAGGTTAAGGGCAGAGAAAGCTTTGGCCAGGTCAATAAAGATAGCAGCACAATATTGCTTAGAGTCAAGTGCAGTGGTGACATAATTTAGGACCTTTAAGGTTGCAGTGACACATCCATAACCTGAGCGGAAACCAGATTGCATACTAGAGAGAATACTATCGACGTCAATAAAGCAAGTCAGTTGATTATTGACAAGTTTTTCCAACACTTTTGATAAACAGGGCACGATAGAAATTGGCCTATAACAATTAGGATCAGCTTGATCTCCCCCTTTAAATAAAGGACGCACCGTGGCTGCCTTCCAAGCACTGGGAACCTCAACAGGGAGGAGAGACAGGTTAAAACACGTGAGAGATTTGCTCGGCGATGATAGGGGCTGCAACCTTAAAGAAGAAAGGATCTAAACCATCTGACCCAGATGTTTTTTTAGGGTCAACTTTAAGGAGCTCCTTTAGCACCTCAGACTCAGTGACCGCCTGCAGGGAGAAGCTGTTTAGCGGGTCAGGGGGAAAAAGAGGGAGGAGCATCAGGGTTAGAAGGGCTGGGAGATGAGGAAGTGTTGGATGGGCAAGGAGGCATGGCTGAGTCAAATAGGAATCCTGACTTAATGAAGTGGTGATTAATGAGCTCAGCCACACCATTAATGAGCTCCAACCACATCATCTACATTAAGGGACATGGGCAGCTGTGAGGAGGAGGGTTTATTCTCCAGGTCTTTCACCGTTTTCCAGAACTTCTTGGGGTTAGACCCACAGAGAGAGAACTGCTCCTTAAAGTGGAGCGGTTCGAGAGCTTCAAGTTCCTCGGTGTCCAAATCACTAAGGACTTAAAATGGTCCACTCACACGTGCACAGTCGTGAAGAAGGCGCGACAGCGCCTCTTCTCCCTCAGGAGGTTGAAAAGGTTTGGCATGGGCCCTCAAATTATATAGTTATATAGCTGCACCATTGAGAGAATCTTGACTGTTTGCATCACTTCTTGGTATGGCAACTGCACCGCCCTCGATCGCATGGTACTTCAGAGGGTGGTGCGGACAGCCCAGTACATCACTGGGGCCGAGCTCCCTGCCATCCAGGACCTCTATACCAAGCGGTGTGAAAGGAAATCCCGGAAAATCAATAAAGACTCCAGCCACCCAAGTTATAGACTGTTCTCTCTGCTTCCGCACGGCAAGCTGTACCTGTGCATGAAGTCTGACACCAACAGGCTCCTGAACTAACAGCTTCTATCCCCAAGCCATAAGACTGCTAAATAGACTTGACCCTTGTATTTTATTTTTTATTTTGGACTGTCTCTGTGGACACTCACAGGACTCTACACACTCACGCACACTGACACTCCAACACACACATAACATGCACACACATTTATACTAACTACACTAACATACAATCATAATTTACGCTGCTGCTACTCTGTTTATCACATATCCTGATGCCTAGTCACCTTACCCCTATACATACAGTATCTACCTCTATCACTCCAGTATCCCTGCACATTGTAAATATGGTACTGGAAGTGACCCTGTATATAGCTTCTTACTTTCTTGTGTTCTTATTTCTTATTTGTAGTTATTCTGTGATTTTGTTCTACCTTATGTTATTTTTAGTGATACATTGTTATTGATTACTGCAATGTTGGGTTTGGAACTTGCAAGAAAGGCATTTCACTGTACTTGTGCATGTGACATTAAAACTTGAAACCAGGCGCCCCATGTCTGTAAACGACACAACTCAATGTGCAGTGGCTGGATTAACCCAAAAGGCATACATTCTAAAAGAGGGAGGAAAGTGATACTTAACTGTAGTGTGGATTAATTTAAACACACACACACAGAGACAGAAGATGAAGGGCTGGGTGCCTCAGGAATCCAGCAGAGTAAGACTGCTACGCAATCAAAGCTTTCCCTGCAACAAGGATGAGGGAGAGTTAAGAATAGGTGCTTTGTGCGTTTGCACGGTATATACTCTAGGAGTCCTGATGTAAAATGCCAAATAAGATTTAGCAAAAAGAATGGCTAAGGACAACGTTAGTGTTGTTAGCATTCATGCTATCACATCGAATGGACTCGCACTGATAGCAACCTTAATCTTGTCTGAGCCCAATCCAATCAACCAATAGCATGCCATCACAATATTTATAACGCTGTTGAACTCCAAGCTCTATAAATACCCATCAGGCTAAGCAGCATTAAATCCAATTTGATGATGCTGCTGTGACATGAGTCAGGTGAGACTGCCTTTTGTAGAGCTACACCATATAGCCAGGAAGCAACGTGTGCAGCAGGGTCAAGGAGGGGAAATGCTATATGGACACTCCTGACCTGCAAACCAATATTTAATTTCAAACATTTTTTTTAAAATAGGTTACGGTTAGGGTCATGGTTAAGGGTTTAGTTAAGGTTAGGGATAAGGTTAGGGTCAGGGGCAGTTTTAGGGTTACGTGACAGACACTGTGGTCTACAAGGCTGGTTCTGCATTACATGGTAGTTCCACCAAGGATAAAGGCAATTAAATAATACTTGTGTGAGATGAATAGAGTATAGAGGGGAAATGTAGTGTGTGTATGTGTGTGTGGCAAGGAAAAAGACAAACGGACGATGTGTGTGTCTCTCTCTCCACGCCCGTGTGAGACTCGGCAAGTCTGAGTGCCAAGCCGCTTGTGAACAATGAACCCACTCACACTCTCCATGCCACAGCAAGGCATGTGGGAAATATATACTGTAGCCCACTGTAGCTGGGGATAACCTAGAAGCTATGCACTGCCAGGAGGGAGGGGGAGGGAAAGAGTGTGAGAAGCAATAGATGCAACTATACATATTCAACCAAGTCTCTAGATTTGCCATCTGCATGCCAAAAGATTATATTTTGAAAAAACGTGCTTATTGCACCGATGTCTTGCTAATAGAAATGACATGTTATTTGTATGGAGAAACAACCTTTTCCATGCTGAACAATTTACCTTGTACATTCAGTAGATTCTTACTTTCTTGTGTTCTTATTATTTTTTATTTCTTATTTTCATTTATTGTGTGTTTTTGTTCTACCTTATGTTATTTTTAGTGCTACATTGATATTAATCATTGCATTGTTTGGTTTTTCACTGTACTTCCGCTTGTGACCGTGAAACTTGAAACTATACTAAACAAAAATATAAACGATCCCGCAGGTGAAAAATCCGGATATGGAGGTCCTGGGCTGGCGTTTTTACATGTGGTCCGCGGTTGTGATGTCACGCCAGGGTAAGCCTACATGAAACCCAGCCCTTATTTTATGTGTTTCAAAAATTCCCTATGGGAGAAATCAATCGTGGAAAAACGATTGGAACCATTTCACTGTTTGACTGCTAGGTTTTATGGGTATTATGACACCTCCACTGTGGGGCTCTACAAGTCTGTACTGTGGGGCTCTACAAGTCTGTACTTGGGTTACATTTTTTGTCACTTAGCTAGCAGATCTTATTCTGAGCAATAGTCAGTCAACATATACAATGAGCAATTCTTGGGCTTTACTTAGGCCTAGATCTTCAGCAGCTGGCTTGCAAGGCTTGCCAATGCAACAACTTATCTTCCGTAATTGGATGGGAAACTCCTGAACATATTGCTCATTAGTTTGCATCCGAATAAATGCTAATTAATCAGAGGAATTTGTGTAACTTTCCATGGTTGTAGAATGATAATAACTAGGGTGTGACGATACCAGTATCACATTATTTTTTTCATGGCAAAAATGAAAACACGAAGCACGACCGAACTCTTTGGTCCTTTAAAAACCTACTGTTTGTAAAATATTGTGTGCTATAGCTTGGGAAATAAATAAATAGGACTCTGGATGACAACATAATGATGTCTGTTTCCAACATTATGGCTGTTTTCCTAAATAGGTTACATTCGCTTCATGTTTTGTTTCCTTGCCACGAAACTAACAAGTATAGTGATACAGGTATCATCCCAGCCCTAATAATAACAACAGGAAGTTAAGGTACTAAGAGCACATTGATTCAATGTGTCATCTCTGCTTCTTCCTGGAATACAGTAGCTATAGTCACATTCTGCCAGGTCCTGCTTCGTATATTCAAAAATAGTACTGACATTACCTGTACTCCTGGCATTTTATCAGGAAAAAATGAAAATTTATTCATACTAAATTTAGCTAACATTCGATAGTTAATCCAGAGATTTGCTTCTCTTCGGCAGTCTCGTCCAGATCATCATGGCATTTGTAGTTCTTTATGATACCCACATTAGCAGCTAATTAGCATTTCATTTTTGGGGGGTAAATACAGCCGCATATATTGATAAAAGTCACCTTGTCCTAAAGAGATTTACAAAGTTATTAAAACGT